AAACATATAACTTTCCTCTAGTTCTTTAATGCTTCCTTTACCCCACTATCATGATCCCAATTTTACCTTACATATCAGGCTAGACCAGAGGATGTACACCGGTTCAGATAAGAGCTGGAAACACAGGGAATCCAGGACAGATAAACCCCTCAGGACCAATGAGAGTAGCGATACCAGGAGGGTAAGAGAAAGGTGGGGGGAGGGGGGGAGAAAGGGAGAACCGATCATAATGATCTACATATAACCCCTTGCCTGGCGGGACAGACAACAGAAAAGTGGGTAAAGGAAGACATCGGTCATGAAAAAATAATAATTTATAAATTATCAAGTGTTTGTGAGGAAGGGAGATGGGGGAGGAAGGGGAAGATGAGGAGCTCATATCAAGGGCTCAAGGAAAAAGAAGATGTTTTGAAAACGATGCTGGCAACAAATGTACAAATTTGCTTGACACAATGGATATGGAATGCAGTAAGAGTTGTACGAGCCCCCAATAAAATGATTTAAAAAAACCCAAACCCACTCTTCTCACTGCTGTCAGCATTGTCCATCATCCAGCACCTTTGACCACTTTCTCCCACCCCTCAAATAATTCTGCCCACCCAACAGGTGCACACTCCCAATCAGACGGGCGGTCACACACCCCCATTTCACGTGTCCCCAACAACCAGTGTAAGAAGGCCTCTGACTCCCAGGCCTTAACTCCGCCATCCCATTTTCCTAGCCCGGGTCTGCACTACCCAGCCAGGCACCTGAGTATTACTCCCCTACCATTTTCTAGCTGTGTAAGCACACCAAGTGAATCTCGGGAATGGGCCAAGCCCGTTCTTCAGCTGTACAGTGGGAATGACACTTACTCTACCGGATTGGCATGAAGATCAAAGGTGAAATGAGATGATGAGCAAACAGGGGCCAGCCATTATTGTTTGTGTTAGCAGCTGTTAAATCAGTCCCCGACTCAGGGCAGCCCCACGCCTGATGGAAAGAAAGGCTGCCTGGTCCTGTACCATCACCACCATCAAATGCAAACTGGACCGTGGCCAGCTTTGTTGGAACTAAACTCATGCTAGGCAT